ATCCTGAGGTAGATGACTCTGTTTAATTTTTGAGACCTTGCGTTTTTTCTGACCCCTTACCTATTGTCTGGACTTTATATGGGCCCTGGATCTTATCAGCATGCTCAGAGGATGTTACATTATCTTGAGCTAAAGTCTGAAACTACAAGGTTTTGTGAATCTTATCTATAGCTAATGATTAAGAAAGAAAAGAAAGGAAAAAGAAAGCCATGTCTTCTTTGCTCTTCAGGTAATGCCAGTCACCTGTGTTCAGGGCTGCTGAGGTGTAGCTTTCTGCATGATAATAGTGTCCTCTGCAGACAGAGATGCAGAAGCATGGGACTGTGAGTGGATGTCATTATGCCGGAGTGACCGGGACTCACTGCTCGCGTGCTGTAGGGCAGCCACGCCAGTGCACACACACATAGGAATTCTGATCTCCAGTGCCTGTGCTTCAGTGCTAGGTAAAGTGCTGAGCACTGTGCTGAATAATGACAGATTCCCTGAAACACATGGGTTATGTGTAAGGAAAAGAAGGAAAGGAGGAGAAGAGAGTGGAGACAAAGATGATTATGAAGCTCTCAGAATGCCAGTACGGAGTCTGTGTGCCACCAAATTGTGTTCTCTCATTCCTTTGTTTCTTGAAAGCAGGGATACCAGATAAAAGACTAAATCAAGAAAAACAAGTTTTTTGAGCTGGAATAGAGAGGGGGCTCAGATATGAAAGGTTTTTAAGAGGTTGATGTTCTAGCTTTGATGATTTTTTTTGGAAAATGAAATAAACAGAAATGAAAGGAATCTCAGGTTTCCATAGTGGTTAAAAGAGTGTCTTGTATATATTCAGTAAGAGCTGTTGAATTGAATAGGTTGTTTGTAGAATTTTCTAGTGCTTTTTCTCCAAAGGTGAAATGTTGGCAGAATTTCAGATTCTGAAGTGTAAGACTGTGGGTCTCATGCATCTCCTGATACTGAGTGCACTGGCACATTGAGCTTATCCCACCAATAAACCACCTGTAGGGTCAATGTAGTTTATTGAGTGAGCTTAGGAAGCCCAATGTATTGAGGAATCAGAGCTAATGGCACTATTTGTTAAGGATTACAGTTAATGGGAGAATGACCCAGGCAGATCTGTGCATTACAACTTGCCTTAAGTCTGGAAAAGATATATTAGAGACACATAGATCAGATTTTTGTTAGTTGCATCAACTATAAGAACATTCTGCTTCCTTAGTGCCGCAATGTCCAAAATAATACAGATTTACTGAAAGAGTAAGAAAGAAGGGAACAAAGAAAGAAAGAAAGAAAGAATAATAGGAATCTCAGTTTAAAAACTCAAAGGAATATTATGGTACTGAAGGCCTCTGGAGTCTAGTCAATTCTGAAAGCTTTCGCTATGAGATTACTTAGAGATATTTTTCAATTCGTCTTTTGTGACTGAGGTCAGTCTGTGAAATGGCTCGACAGACTCTTTAGTAAGGAAGACCCATAACTCAGTGAACAACTCCTGAAACTGTGACAACTAAGTAGGCAGGGTCTCCATGGTCAAACACCATGCTCCCGTGGCCTCTTGTTTCTTGTTATGCAACAGAGAGCACTGGCAAAGGATTGGAAGACAAGCGCTCCCATTTCCCAACCACGTGTCTATGAACAAATCTTTGAAACTCTCTAAACTCTCATTTTCCTCATGTGTGAAATGGGAAAAATAACGGTTTATTAAATTTACTCTAAAGGGCTGTTGTGAAGACCAGAGGAGATACTTTCCATGCAAATTCTTCCTGACCTATAAAGTTCTGCTGGCTTGCAGTGTGGTTACTATTGAATAGGCTGTGCGGTAGGATGGTTAGAAAGCCCGTGGAAGGTTCCCCATGGTGTTAATGTGAGTTACTTGAGCTGGTCTGTGTAATGTATTACTCTCTTCCTGGTTTTAGGGGTAAGCTAAACATTGTAAGATGATGTTGCCTGTGCTATAACCCAGGATTTTGTGGCAGTAACTAACTTGCTGACAGTTGATCATCTTGTAATTAGAGATAGGTCTTTTTGGAGCCAAGACTTAGTCTTCTCTTGTGACTCCAAGTAGCTCAAAGAATGTAGTCAGGAACCAGAATAACCATTCCTGGATCTCAAGAAACAAAAGAATTCGTAGCAGCAGCTTTGTTTTTGTTGCATTTGTGTAAATTTCCTTCATTGTGCATGTATAAATTTTCACAGCATGAGCAAATTCATTTTTAAACTAATTGAAGCTATTAAATGAAAGCAGAGATATTTCTATTATATGCTCTGATAATTTGTATTCACAAACAATCTGCATTCTTCTGTTTTTGATTGTCCACCTACTACAAAGCCTTTTTCTTGTTGTTGTTGTCATCCATCTACTGGAAAGTCAATATTCTTTCTCATTCACATTTATCATAAGAATGACAAATATTGTAGGAGGGAAAATTTTCTCTGTTCTAAAAAATCTATTCCTCTGCATTTGAATATTTAGATAAAGTATGGGAAGACGTGAGAAAAAATTGCTCATTCTCATTGATTGATGTTGACCACTGACTTCTCTTTCTTTTCCAAACAGCTAAACATGATCCTAATTCATGTAAAATTCTGTGTCTGCTTTGGTCATAAATGTATGGATTAGACTGCTAAACTGTTCATTTGGTACCATGAGGAGAGAGAAGTGTCCACAGCTATGAAGCATCTACATGTCATTGTACACATTTATACAGTAGATTGACCCACCTGGAACATTTCAGGAGTGCTCTTTCAGGGGTCAGATTCCAGTTGCACAGCTGTCATTGCAGTGGTTACTTTGCCCTAAGGTGGCTTTTTGGAGATAAAAGTGTAATAGGTGGAAATTAATACCTATCACATAGAAATAGCTATGAATTTTCTTTGTAATGATTGTAAACATGCTCATGAAGGAGGACCTCCAGAACTGCTTCACACAGTGACAAGAAAGATGGTATAAGCGTTTTAAGGATCACAAGTTGTAGCCCGTCATGGCAACTTAGTGACTTAGCAAGATTCTGTTTCAAAATAAAAGATACAAAAAGGCGGGGGATGTAGCTTAATACAAAGATCCTGAGTTCAGTCCTTGATACCAAAGGATAAATTTATAAATACAAATCCAGTAAATTTCTTTTCTTTTTTACATTTTTTATTAAGAAGATAAAAGCCCAATTTTCTTATCTATAGGGTGAGGTGGGTACTGAGAAGTTAGAGTTATCTGTTAATACGGTAACAATAGTATTAGATGTGATATAATGAAATGTGCCTTGTTAGTCAAGCATGATGATGCACTCCTGAAATTCCAGAACTCTGGGAGTTTAGGGTAACTGAGCAATTTGGTGTGAGCCTGTCTCAAAAAAAACCCAGACCAAAACAAACAAGCCCCCCCCCCCCCAAAAAAAAGAAACAAAAGAAAGACAGACAGAAAGGGAAGAAGGGCTGGGTATGTAACTCAGTGTAAAGCTCTTGGGTTCCCCAGTGTTGTGAAATGGAAACAGAACAAAAACAAAACCACAAAAAAAAAAAAAAAAAAAATCCAAAACAAAAAGAAAATGTGTTTATACCCTGTAACTATAAAGAACTATGCAAATAATGTTATTGTTATAAACCTGATATTGACATCTTTTTTGTTAGGTATCAATGTTAGAATGTCTATTTCATGATATAAACATAGAAAAAGATTTCTGTTCTTTATTTCTCATCTATTTTAGAGATGTTGCTTTCCTGTTGACAAGGAAATTAAGATAATGCTGATAAAATAGGCACATCAGTATAATTTTTTTTTTTTTTTTGTCTTTTTCGTTTTTATCGGTACCAGGGATCGAACTCAGGACTGCCTGTTTGCAAGGCAGGCGCTTATGCCACTGAGCTAAATCCCCAGCCCCACATCAGTATAATTTTTGAAGGGGATTTATAAAAATGTAGTTTTTAATTGTTACTAAGTCTTAATAGTACTTATTACAGACAGTAGAATGAGGAATAACCTGCTAGATCTGATGATTCCACTGAGTTGTTTTAATAACTAAAGAACATATTTATATTTAGAGAAAATATGAAATTTAAAGATATTCTTAGTAATACTATATAGTTGTACAATGAAAAATATATTTATATCTGGCTTTATACTTTTGGACAAAAATAGTAATAACACTTCTGAATTACTGATGGGAAAACGAGTCACAATAAATATGTTGGATTCTCAAGATAAAGAGATACACAATTCTCAGAGTTACAGCATCTGTCTATAAAAATAGTGCAATAGGGATATGCTATTTTAGTAAGAAACTCATTAACTGTAACTCTAAAAGCTGCTGCTGCTTCTTTTTTTAAAATTTGACATTCCAGTAAACTGTTAGAGAAATGTCCCTCAATTGCTTTTCCTCTAAGTGTCTAAAAGTGGGAGTGCATTCAAATTAAAAGCAGAAAAGTCCCTTAAATTCCTCTCAAGGAGTTCATCCTGTTAGTGCCACTCCTAGAAAGAATATGTCTATTATTACTTACAGCTGGAACAAGATTGCAAAAGACTCTTAAGAAATGAAAATTGTACCAGGAACTTTCTGTTTTACTTAAGAGTTTATGACTCAAATATTACATTTTTAGGTCCTCAAATTTTTTTTTTAATCAGCAGGTCCCACCTCTAAGTAAAACTTTGGCAGTGATAGTTAAAATGCTATGTAATGTGAAGTGTGTGTCCAAAGATCCAAATGATGATTTTTAACTTCTGTAGTAATTATTGTAACTAGGGAATAGTGGTAAACTAATTGTAATTATATAAAGTGCTTTCTCACAGATTTCTTCTACACCTATTATTTTATTTCAGCATTCACAATATTCCTGTGCTATAAGCAAGACATTTGCTTCTTTGTGGATAACGACTTAGAGATGTAAAAATTGACTTCACTCAAGGACCCACGGTGAACCCTTGGCTGAGTTGAGACATAAGACAGTTCTCTGGGCTTCTTTTGATGCTTCTTTTGACATGTCTGTATCTTACACATTGCATTCTTCCTGTATTCTAGGTTTCTCCTCTTCAGCCCCTCTTGGACCTCCATTGCTAGCTGAACAAAGGCGGTGAATCTTCATCCTGATCCATCAATCCTTCTGAATCCCATAATGAGCTCACCAGTACAGCCCGGTCAGTCTCCTTGCTTTATACTATGGTAACAGACTTTAGGTAAAGAATGTTTCTTTGTGTTGCTTCAAGATATGCAATTCAAATCAAGGAGGAGCATTTCTTCCTGATGAATGTTAGTTGATATAATAATACATTTTCAATTTTGCACTGGATAGTTATTTCTCTATTAACCCAGTTTGTTGTCTAGGAAACTAATTTCATTTGTATTGTGTAAGCATTAGGCTTTGATTCTTCTGCTTCTAATGTAACATTCAGATTGAATTTGGTAAAGTTAATAAATATTAAAAATGGTACAGATATCTAATTTGCACCCTTAATCTTTCTGACCTAATACGTGTATGTATGCATTCAAATTGTGCATTTGGAAGTCAGTTTCTGGAATGACTTGCCCTTCATCTTTTTGACACAGGAGAAGGATGTTTTTCCTCCCCGACCTTCTTTGCTGCCACTCCTGTTTCCTATATCCGCATTTAATCACAGTCTCAGCACTTGCTTCCTCCAAGTCCAGGGTGATAGCCGTAGCTTGTGGAGAGCTGTCATCAACACAGTGTTAACCCATTCCTCCAAGAATAGGGTGACAGCTTTGGAACAAATACAGTCCAAGAATTGAAAATGATGGAGCAGGGTCAGATATCCCATGCTAGTTACTGACAAATTGTAAAAGAATTTTCTACTTGGCTCATTATAGCACTATTTATTTCTACACATTCTTTACCATATTGATTATCTTTGAGTTATCCAACCCTCTAGGTCAAAGCCAATGTAATATTATATCCAGAGCGCATAAAGGAAAGCCTTTTGCTAAGATTTTCACTCTCTTGAGTGTTTCACCCGTATGAATTCTGCAGTTCCACTCTCATCAGCCTTTTCTCACGTTCCTAACAGCCTATCAGCTTACATGTCAAATTCTGAATTGGAAATCAGGAAAACCTATTTGTAATTGTTGATTCAAAGGCTGTAGTGAAGGTGTCCCCAGTCTTTTGTCATGGCTGTGATTTATAACTAGCATCTTGTTAGCTGATTAAGCAGGTGTAGAGTTTACCTAGGCTTCCTACCTCTGAGTCCCTATGAAGCCTAGTACCTCTCAAAGTTTAGCCTACATTAACATCAGTTGGACAGTTCGTTAAAACACGCCCCTTTCCTAGTTTTTGATTTAAGAGATCTGAGTTAAGGCCTGAAAACTGTGGTTTTTGTAAATTTCCCAGTGATGAGGCTATTGCTCCTGAGACCACAGATGTAACCTCGTGCATCTTCACTGTCTGCACCGCCACCACCACAGACTCTTGTGGAAGTGCTTACTGTGCTTACTGTGAGCATGTTACTCACTATAGTTTTGGTATAGTATCATCCTCTTTGAGATGAACTTAAAATAATATCTGGATTTTATATAGAGAGATAGAATTTGAGCATGTATATTGTGTATTTATTTTTATGGACATTTATTATTTTGAAATTACATGTTTAAAAAGAGCATTTAATTTAGAACCACCATGGTCAAATATTTTTTCTTGTGGTAATGTTTGATAATTAGAGCCTGGTATATCTCCTGCCTCCATAGAATATTGATTTTATAACATGAAAATGTTCTTTGTGGCTGCTATTTGAATAAGAAAGTTCTTGCTAGTCATGATAATTGGTCAGTGAGGAGACCAGGAAAAAAGGTGAAAGATCGATGCGATAACTACAGAGTGAAACTCACTGGACGTTAGGGTCACTAAAATTTACTTGAGTAGTTGTTTTCTTGCACATAATTCTGTTTGGTGAAGAGCAGCATTTTACAATGGTCTCAGTTTTCAAGAATGCGTGAATGAAATTTAAAATTGAGAAATGTCAAGTCAATGGACCACATGTGTGGGGTCACTTCTATTTATTGCAAGTAATAAACTGTGATCAGGGGTATTGAAATATACTTTCTTTAAAGGAAAATGTTCTTAGCACAAACATAAAAATTCTTATGTTGTTATTAGCCTGTGTTTTACAATGCCATATATAAACATATATAGTTTTTTTTTTTCCTCCTGGTGAGGTGTAGTTTGATTATTTGACCTAGAAAAAGTGTTTTTCTCTACACACTTTCTTTTTGAAAATTAAATTGGTTTTACACAGTTACTATCCACTTATTTTGCTTTTGTTCTATAAATTGCTCCCAGTAGTTATCATGTACCAGAAAGAACAATAGATTCACTCCAGTAATTCCAGAAGTTCTTTAATAGTTAATGTTACAGACTGTTTATGTTTGTCTTGAAAATTAGTTCTGGGAGAGTGTGAATTCGCGCTGTCTCTGTGCATTGACATCACGCTCAGAAATATTTCCTCCATCCATGTTCAAATGCAGTTGATGACATGTACAATTGATGGTTGCCTTGATCATGTATTCCATCAAACAGAAATGCTAAGTTTTATATATAGAAGTCATTTTTATTTTAATCTTCTTGCCCACTATTGTTCTAAATTAGATAATTGGGAGGTATTTTGGGCATCGAGATGTCTGAATGGAGGGAAGACTGTCTGGATGTGATTGTCAGCTTACTATTGCAGGAGAACTGTTCATTCATTTCAAGGTTACGAGGTGTCTATTTAATGCCAGGCTGAATGTTACCCAGTAGGGTCACAAAGTACTAAGTACTACTACTCTACAGACAAAACTATTTAGTGAGAGAGACAGACATAGTAGTAGTTTTTGCCATTCAGTTTCTTATTTTAATGAATATAGGAACAGAAGTTAACTTCTGTATAGGGGTTTCTAGCTATTTATCTTTTGTCAGGATTTCCAGATCTCAGAAGGAAAGATTTTTGGACTCATCTTAGTGTTTTCCTGAATATATTAGGTAATAAAAAGTCACCGGAGGGCTTGTTAAAAATGCAAATTCCTAGACTCCTCCCCTAAAGAGTCTTATGGTATAGACATAGAGGCTGTTTAAGTTGGGTGCTAGACACAAGCTCTTCACTGTAACTTCAAAACATCAGAAATGCACTCAGCCTGTCCAATAATACCAATAATTCTCAAGTTGAGACTATGAAAACAAGACAGTATTATATTGTATATCATATAAGTCTCTGTCCTATGAGCTAAGATATAATTCAGTTAATTTGCTTTCTGATAACAAATAAATAATAGAGGTAATGCTGTTGAAACCTCGGGGAGGTAATCATATGTAGGGGAAAGTTCCAGGGGGTTTATAGCTATTCTCTACCTGGGGAATCCCAGTTTTATGGGGGAAGTAAACCAAAGAGAGTTCTACAGATAGAGTAAATTCTTTTTTCCTCCAAAAGAAATTTGAATCTATTTTAATGCAGAGGAGATTTTTAGTGTGATTCCAAAAGTTTAGAACATATGATTTGAGGCTAGATACCTATAAGAATAAGTAATTTTAGGGCTATGTCGGCCCTAAAATGATTTCAGCATGAGTTCTAGTTTTGATAAAGCTAATATTCATGTTATAATTTTATTGATAATACACTCACAAAATTTTCCAAACATAGAATGCAGCATACATTATATCTCCTAGAATTGAACAGTGCTGTGGCCCTGTATTTGTAGGTAATTTTGTAAGGTAAAGTGCAAGAACTGGGTTTCAGCATCCTATAACATTACTTTCTAAAACTCATTGTGTAAAAGTAGTTCATTTCTACCTTTTTTTATCCTTGTGAAAACACTGATCACAACTGTCACACTGTATAAAGTGAGAGAGCCAGGCTATTTATATAACCTAAACTTTTGGAATGAAATTTTATATTTTATTTATTTTTCTAATAGTCTATTCAAATTTTTTCTGTTGCCAAATCTTGAGAAAAAATTAGTTAAGGGATTTTCCTTCATGTCTCTCTTTTGCTAAATAGCTGAGTTCCTTTATAGAGATGTAGGATAGGATTAACTAATGATCAAAAAGTTCTTTGAAATATAAATTGTTATGTTATGGAAATGCTAAGTGTAGAAACAATTTAAGGGCAAACATTAATAAAAGCTTCACTGCAAGCATTTTAAAAGAGAGCTAATAAAAGCTTCAAGGTTCAATTAATACAACACAACACTGGGTTTTCTAGAAGCATATGGGACCCAGAAGACCTGCCCCTGTTTTTAAAATTTACAAACTCTTAATGATTCACCACTTTGACTCAGTGCATTACCCTCTGTGGTGCCATTTAGTCATTAAGTAGGAAACTAAAACCAGGACAAAGCTACCAACGAATATCATAATGTCCAAGAGGGTGTTTTTTCTTCAGTTTGTTTACAAGTATGTTGCCAAAAAGTGAATGTTAAATGAGATAGAGTCAAAGGACAAATCCAGTAGGTTATGGCTACTCCAGAGGAGTGTGGTCACTTGGCTTTATAATGAAATACAGGTCAAGTCATGCATCAACTCTGCATAATGTAACATTTTCAAGCTCTTTGCCAATTACCCATTTCAAATAGTAGTCTAAAAGAGTTGCAAAATAATGACATAAACTAGTCCGTTAAAGTTTAACAGAATTTGATCGTGTATGAGAAACATTGCATGTTAAATTTATTACGTATTGTTTAAGGATTTTTCTACTCTAACTTCTACTTTAAGTGGTTATTTTGTTCCTTGTAAGTCTAAATTTTTCAATCTGATATTTAAGTTGGAACATAAACTTGAGAAGACATTTTATTCATTCATCAATTTCTGTATAAATCATATAAATTTATCTGAAATTATAATTGCATATATCCTGAGGAACAGATATTTTCAACTTAATATTCATATTTCTTTGATTGTTTTTTATTCCATATTGGGGTCATGTTTTTAAATACTTTCACAGTTTTAAATGTTATGTCAAAAATTTAAACCAAATATACGATGGTTGACAAGTAGATATTTTACACTGATATGTGCATGAATACAATTATAGAATAATGCCAGGCTATATATTTTCTGAAGCTTCATGAACAAGGTGTTGGTTCTCTGCAAAATGTATGTGGACAGCCTTTTTAAAATAGCGTTACATAGAACATTTATTGAGTTTTTAAGTCTTTTGTA